TTTTTTTTTCTTATCTTCTATATTTAGTTGTAGATAATTTATTACAGTTACGCGTAGGTTCATCATATTTATTATATTTTTGGATTGGATAGAGAAGGGAGATAATGGCGAAGAAGAAAGCAACGATGACGCTCAAAGACTTCCATGGAGGTTCAATTCCTTCCGATCTCCGTCTCCCTTCTGCCCCTGGAGTGTGAGTTCCTTTTATCCTTTCATTACCCATACGCAGGCACCGTATCCTCTGGAATTAAGATCTATTTTCATTTTGTACTGCGAATTTGGGCTTAATTTGGTGTCTGTGGTTTTAGTTTTTACAATTCCCATGTATCGTAGATAGGATTTTAATTCAAGTAAGGGAATATTTTCTCTTAAAATTTATATCTTATTTTGTTGATTCTTGAATGAAAGCATAGAGTTTTTCCTCGGTCTGATGCTATCTCTGCTTAAGTACATGATTTTGGTATGAATATTCTAGATCTACCTCTTCACGTGTTTATCATTTGAAACCCTTGTAATGCAAAACCCTTATGAATTTTGAGTAAATTTATTGGGATAAGTTGTGTCTAGGTATACTTGCTTCATTTATTCAGTAGTTCGAACAGAATCTGTGTAGGGGACTTGCAATTGGAAATTTTTAATAATATTGATCTTTTTGGACAGAATCGTGAGGCCTGCAGATTGTGGTGGTTTTGATCGGCAGACTTCATGGGGGAATTCAATGGGAAGGTCTGAGCATAGGTTGCGTCCAGCATCATCCGGGTCTATTCGGAAATTTGATGATAAGGCTCTATTTTTAACTCACAAGGAACACATCGGTTCTCATTTTGATGAGGATGAACGCAGGCCTTTGGATGCAGCAGGTCCCCGACGAATTGCCAGTGATGAGAGCACTCATGCTCTACCAAGCAGTGCGGCGGAAACTAAGATGGATTATCTGTCTGGCGCTAAAGCTGATAATCAGCTGGGTTCAACTACCTTATCTCAATTTTCAAGTGGTTTGATAGGTAGTTCTTACGCGGGGATGCTTACTGAAGTACATAATGTGGGATTGAAGAATCAAATTAGTAGCAGCAGGAATGGCACTGTTGTGGTGAATTATCAGAGTGTGGGTGGAAATTCTGGGCAGGCGGTTGCTGTGTCCCATCAGAATGCATGGGGAGGAAGGAAGGTGGCAGGTTTAAGGGAGCCTGTATCTGCTGCATGGTCAGCTCCAGATGCTGCATCGAAGTTGGCTCATGCCAGTGCTCTTGAGAAAGTCTCATCTGGTCGGTGGCACTCGAAACAGCTGATTCATCCTCAAAATGATGTTCAGCTTATTGGACACCTGGTAAATGAGAGAGAGATTAATTACAAGGGCAATGATATACTTGATCAGAATTACTACAAAATAGATGTGGTAGGTGGGAGTCCCTATCAAGATGTTGGATTGGCAATACATGCTGAGAGGAGTCTGGTTGTTGAAGATGAAGTTCATGTTGGTGGTAAGGATATATCACCTAATGAGAGTGCCAGGTCTACCATTTATATGGACACAGATATGAGGAAAGCTTCAGTTAATGCTAATGATTTTCAGCCTGTTCAGACTGCTGTAAAAACCGGTGGGAGTGAGTTACAGACAGAAGTGCCTTTAGAACCATCAGAGAGGCCCAAACTGAATCTACTTCCAAGATCCAAACCTTTGGAGAATATAGATATGATAGTTGATTATAAGCAGGTAAAATTGGTTGCTTTACATTTTGATTCTCGTTTGAACTTGTTTTCAAACACAATTTAAAACTCATTCACTCTTAACATTTTGCATGGCACGAGTAGAAGACAAGTGATCCAGCTCATCTTGGGGATATCAACGAATTATATAGATGTGCACATCCTGTACAACCTGGGCATTCTGAATCGACGCGAACATTAGAGCGTCCAAAACAGGATTTCAAGCCTCAGTTACAGCCTATTGAACAATTAGAGAGAAAAACTGAAATCAAAAGGTTGACCGAATTTTGATAACTAGCTTGCCATGTAATTATATAATATTGGTTTGTTTTATTCCAGTGTCTCTTCCAAGTCTGTTTGATTTTCCAATTTT